CGCTCCGCGGCATGTGGGATCTTCCCGGACCGGGGCATGAACCCGTGTCCCCTGCATCGGCAGGCGGACTCTCAACCACTGCGCCACCAGGGAAGCCCCACCCTTTTGTTTTTGACAACCTTTTGTTGCCCTGAAGTGAGGGGTCACATAGTATGAAGCAAAATGTTTATATTTTTCTCACTAGGACTCTTTAAAATGAAAAGCAAATTAATTTTCAAAAATTAAATGTATTGTTAATAGGTAATGCATTCATATGATTCAAAATTCAAAACATACTAAAGGGTGTACAATAAAAAGTTTCCTTTTTACCCATGTCCCTCAGCTGTACAGTTTACCTCCTCCAAAGCAGCTAACATTATCAATTTTGGGGTCTCCTAGAGTTATTTCATGCATATAAAAGCAAATGTGAAGAAGCAAATATCTTCTCTCCTTTTTGAATACAAACGGTAGCATACTAGATTCACTCTTCTGCACTTGCTTTTTTCATTTATAAAAATATAGAAACCACTTAATTAAAAAAAAACCCTCGTTTAACAGAAACTGAGGAAACCCTGAAATTGAAACAATAAAGAACTATAGTAACCAATATGAAAGTTACTGGAAAATAGTAAATAATAAAACAATAATTAGGGCAAATAATGCATTAATAAATTGTTTATTTGTTCTAATGTTCTAATTGTTCGAAATGTTCTAATAAATTGGAAAATCAAAGTGAAATAAGTGACAAAAAAACAAGAAATAGAAAATCTGAACAAACCAGTAGGTAAGGAAGAAACAAGAAAGTTGTCTGACAGCCAAGGGAAGAAAGCAATTGAAGAAGGAGGGAATTAGCAGTGGACTTGAAGATCCTTTAGTTTTGTACCTTGTTAGTTATGGCCTCAGGGGATTTTTCAATGGAGCATTAAGAATGGACTCCCAGTTGTTGGGCAGCTGCAAAGAGAACTGGAGGTGAGGAAATGGAGACCGAATAGAGAAATGTTTTATTGTCCTTCTGCTGTAATTGGTACTTAGCATGATACCCAGCACAGAGTAACGAATTTTTCCTTTAAGGTTGCAGAGTCTTGAACATATGTAAGTGATGATCATTTGTGCCAATAGAGAAGGAAAAGGTGAAGATGCAGAAAATAGATAACTGACTATGAGAAAGGCAGGAGAAATTGAGATCTGGAAGACAGCTGGAAGGGGTTGGCCTTTAGGGCGAGGGTTTCCTCTTCCATTCTGAGATGCAGAAGGGATTGGTGCTGGGAGGAATTCGGAGTTCTTGTTCGCTGGCTTCCCTTTTCTCTGTAGAGTGACTTAGTCATTTGCTGGAAATAAGGGGAGAAATAAAGGGCTTAGAGGTTTGAGAGAATGGAGAATGAATAATGATCAGTGTAGACAATAGGAGAGAAAGATGGGTAAATACATCAGGATCAGTGGGCAACATTGGGACGCAAGTGGTTTCCCAGCATTTAAGAGCTAGGTGCAGGCGTGGACAGTGCCAGCAAGTGGACTCTTGTAGGACAGAACACTTGTCGGTCTCAGGACCCCTTTACATTCTTAATTACTGATAACTCCAGAGAGTTTTGTTTATGTAGAATGTATTTATTGATAATTACTCTATTAGAAATTAAAACTGGGATATTGAAAATGTATATTTATATTCTCTGTACAAGTACAATAAAAAATCCATCATGTTAGTGTAAATAATACATTTTTACGAAAACTATGTTTTCCAAAACAAATGAAATTTAGTGAGAAGAATGGCATGTTTTACATTTTGCAAATCTCTTTAATCTCTGGTATATAAGAAGACAGTTGGATTCTCCTGTTTCTTTTTTCAACCTGTTGCAATATGTTGTTTTTGTTCAAGTATGTGAAGAAAATTCATCCTGAAACAGAGGTAGTTGGAAAAGGGAGTATTTTAATAGCCTTTTCAGTAATTGTGGACGTTTTTCTTTGATACTACGCCAAAACTGGGTAAGTGGTAAGTTTCTTAAAGATTAGCTAAGAGCTTAGATTCTGACACATATCAATAGACTTTTCGTGTACTAAAACCCATTGACCTGTTCTGCTCTAGATCTATTCTGATTTATCCTGGTCATAGATCTTTTGCCTGTGCATGATTTTGTGAACTCTTGCCTTTGTTAACATCATGAGTTTTTTCAACTTTGCTGAGTTATGCAGATCTTCTAAATGTTGGTGTGTTTCATTAGACAATATTTTAAAAATTACATTTGTTAATGTCACCACTGATTTCATCAGAAAAGCCTTTAAGTATTGGGAAGCCATCCAGTTCACAGTGAGGGATACCACTTTTCTACCCTTCTGATTTTCGCTTGACAGGTGGAATTTTATCATAGGCAACAAATACTATCATTGTTTTCCTTTAGGTGACAGGTTTGCTCTGTTCAGTTTTGAGAAACTGTTTGCCAGATATGCAGGTCTGAATAATCAACCAGTTTGCTTTTCTTTGAGAGGACTGTCCTACGCCATTATATAGTGGAAGTGCTTCATATATTTCATTTCATTTCGTCATACCAAATATTAAAAGGCCATGTGCTCCAGGGATGAGATTTAGTAAAATTGTACTTTATCAAGATATTCTTAAGAGAAACTGGCTTTTTTATTTTCCTGCAAGTGCATGGTGGTGAAGAATACAATGACCACTGGTACATAAACTTAGCCTTCATTTATGCTAAGGTTCCAGTAGTTTTCGTCACCATTGCTTTTGTACCATCAGTGCAGGTCTGAGCACAGTGAAAAAGGGGTGGGCACATATATCTTAGTATTATTATGAAAATAAATTTTACCTAGTGGAACCTCTGAAAAGGTCTTAGGGACCCCCCAGAAGTCCACATTTTGAGAATTGATGTTCAAGGCATAAGGTTTTGTTAGGTGTGTTCAATGGAATTGAGAGACAGTAGTAAAAGATACCATAGTTAAAGATTGGACCATGGTCTCTGGCCTGGAGAGTCCTTTTACTTTCTTCCTACGTATCAGCTCATTCTGAGAGGCCGCCAGTATGTTTGTCAACGCACTTATTTGAAATATGATGAGTACATGCTACATAGTCAAAAGGAACAATTTATGATGCTGAAATGAGTTTTGGGAGTGAAGAACTGTAACTTGAATACTAGATCAGCACAAAGGATTTAAGGATCAGTGTTCTTAATCCTGCTTCTGTTAACCCATGAGGCTCACTGAGTTCTGGGAAAGTCACCTGAACTTTCTAATTCTCAGGTTTCTCACCTCCACAGTGGGATTAGTATTATTTGCGCCCACATTTCTTAGAGTAGTTTTGATGTTCAGGTGATACCATCAGTTCTGTACGCCGGGTAACATCTTCATCTTTATACCTGTAAAGCTGTGCTTGGGGTACAGCAGAAAAGTCAGTAAATATTTATTGAGTTAATGAATGAACTTAAAAAAACTGTTATGAGCTGTTAGTTTTAAACATACACACCAATAGAGTTGTATAATGAATTCCTGTCTTTCCTCAACACACATAACTCTAGAAAATAAGACCATGTTTTTATAGAATTAAGATCACCACCAACAAAATTAAAATTGGGTCCTTAATACCATCAAATACTCCTCTCGCATTTGAATATCCCCAATTGAATTAAAATAAATACATATATATGTTTTTACAGTTGGTTTATTCAAATCAAATCCACACAAAGTCCACTCATTACATTTGTTTATTATGACTCTTAGTTTCTTTTCATTGCAAACATTTTCCAGGTCCCCCACTTTTTTTTATGCATCAACTTGTTGGAGAAACTGGGGCTAGTTTTGTAAAATGTGCTCGTGTTTGATTGCTTCCCAGTGGTGTTTTGAGCTTTTTCCTCTATTCCTTACATTTCTAGGAAGCTGGAAGTTAATTGTTTGATTAGATTCCGATTTAGATTTTTAGGGAGAACACTTCTAAGTGGTCTGCTGTGTACTTCCGATGTGTTTCACATAGGACGTACGTGGTATTGATGCCAAACTTGAGCAGTGGGTTCAAGTGCGGCAGCCTTATCTTTCCGTTGTTCATCATCACACTTTCTTGTCATGGTTTTAGCATCCATTGATGATCACTGCCTGAGTGAGTGAGCTTTGGAACTGTGAGGTGCTAACTACATGTGTGGAGGTATTATTGAGGTACTGTTTCGGTTACTACTGGTAAAGTAGGGCAGTATCTTTATTTGAGCTAAGTTATCAATGACATAATATCTAAGAAGCAGGTAGTAACAAGCCTACAAATTAGGGACTGTGTTTTTTACATTATAATTGATGTAAAATATTTCATTAGTTGAGGTGTTCAACATAGTGATTTGATAGTTTTATACATTACAAAATGATCAGGGGACTGCATTTTTAACAGGATAATTTTATGCATAGCATGGAAAGAACTAACCGTTTTTTTTCCACCTGCCACACTAGATTTAGAGTTTGTCTCTTAACAGCATGTCATATTAAAACAAATACCTTTGAACCATCTTTTTACTAAAGAGACTCTCCAAAACCATTCTGTCTCGATTATTATAAAAACTTGTTTAATACTAATACAGTTGATCATTACAGTAAGATTCCAGATGACAAAAAAGAATTTGGACACACCCTTGGAGCTCTCTTCGTAATGAGATTTAACATGTCAGCTGAAGCTACCATAATTTTGGTTTGGTTGGTTCTGTTAGGAGAAAATAATTAGAGTGTCTCATTTTACGTGGTTCGTAATGAATCCATTTGTAGAAATTGAATTCAGACACTGAGAAACTAAATAAAAACAATGTGAACATTTGGAAAATGTGGGTGGTTTCTTCTTTGTGCTGTTGGATATGTCCGTCAAACTGATGCTGCAAGAGAAATACCTCACGTTTAGAACAGGGGCTGAGCACAGGTGGTGTGTTCAGGAAATCAGTATAATCTCCGTGAACGAAAAAACTTTACAGTTCTTGAAAAACTTGCAAGGTTGTTGACCAAGGGACATGAAATTTTACCCAAAGACATTAACTTACTTCTTTCTTCAATAGGAAAATAAAAAATACTTCAAGCGTAGTGAACTTGCAAAAAAAGAAGAGGAAGCATATTTTGAAAGATGTGGCTACAAGGTATGAATGCCTGCTTTTATGTTAAATTGATGTTTCTGAGTTTAAATTTATACAGCTGTTGTTAAAGTGTCAAAACGATTGATCTCTGTTCAATTTATTAATGTTATACATTAGCCTATAAATGAGAAGCCATCTGGAGAGGTATGAGTTTTTGTTTTTCTTTCCTTTTTCTTTTTTTTTAATCTTGAATTCAGGAAAATACATGCATGACTTTTGGCTTGGAATGGTTTGGCTTTTTGTGGACAGCATGAAGTGGCTTGAGATCAAAGCTTGATTTTTTTTCTTTTTAATTAAGTCCTGGATCTGATACTGCCTCATTTTCATCACCATCACCACCACGCCTCTCCTCACCTCTCCCAATAAAAGTCCAGTTTTAAAGGATTCAAAAGATTTTATTCGTTCAACAACAGTGGCATTAGCAGTGGTATTTTCCCTGCTTTCTCCTGAATATTTTAAGCCATTGTTTTTACGTTTGCAATGTTAATAATCCCTTTTGGCCCTAAGTACCTCTTCCTGAGATACGGTGTCATTTTGTGTAATAAGGTATCACATTTCAAACACTGCTTAGTCTATTGGATAGAAAATGTGATCTTGAAATATTTGTTAGAAATAAATGAGTTATCTGGAAGACTTTGTATACTTTAGAAGCATGACTAAAATTATCTTTGAGATTACCAGTTAATAATGTATTGGGGTTTTTATTGGGAGGGGTTAAAGGTAACGAGGTGAAGTTGTGTTTAAATTATTTTATAAGAAGGCTAAATCTAGTTGAATAATTTTTTAAACAAAGTTCAGAGGCTCTATTGAAATAATTTTGACAAATCATAAATTTGAAATCGACTTTTTGCTTGTGAAACATCAATATAAAATAATACTCTTGTGCACGTAATGGAGAAAGTTCTGGAAATTAATTTTATCTGGCAGAGCATTTCTAGAAAGAAGCATGAGGAATGCAAATGGTATGTATATGCGTTTGCTTTCTTTTGGTACTTTTGGGAGAGGGCAAGTGTTGAAAATGTATTTCTGATAGGTTTCTAAAATATGAAAGTTTATATTTTGATATTTTCCATAGGTACATTGATTTCATTTGCTTCTAGTTTAGGAAATTAAGATACGTTTTATGTAAATAACCATCGAATAGATATATATTCAGAAAGAAGAATTCTCATCTTTTGTTTGCCCAGCATTATCTAAACTCAACTTGAACTAGAATAAGAATCACTTAACCATGCGTTTTAGTCTGCTGACTTGTTGCTTTCCCAGATCCCTGAATTTGATTGTTTTCAACTTTTTGATAAGGTAGGAAAATAATTTAAACAGTGACGATTTTGCTTTGTTTAGATTGCTTCCGTGATAATGGCAGTACTTTCTTGCTTATATAGAGGAAAGCAGTGAAGCAAAATCATTACTGTAAAGATGCTGCTTGTAACCTTGAGTCCAGCTGACAGAATGTCTTAGATCTTTTCCTTGAAGTTATTCACTGCCATTCTATAATTGAAAATGCTTTTTTATCCTGAGATTTTGGGAGCAATATCTGTTTTTATGCTTAAAAAGAAAGCACAGCGTTTTCGATATAAAGCCTTTTAATATTTCCTTCTTGGTAGTAATGAAAATACAGCATGTGTTGCTTTTATTCTTTTATAAAAACCAGTTACCGTTTTTTTTAAAGGCTTGATGCTAATTTGGTCTGTGAAAATATGAAAGTTTAGTTTTTTTACCTAAATTTTCTGTTACCACTGTTACCACTGATTAACATAATCTTTAATCTATAGAATCATAAATTATATCATTTTAACCATATAGCCTTTCTTAACTGAATGTGAGTTTTTCCTTAATGTTGATCTTTTTTGTTTTTTGATCTTTTTTTGGCATCTTAGATTTGTCTTATGGTTCAGATGGAAAACCATGTTTCAGTATCTTTTTTACAGACCACACAGTGGGGCTTATAAATTGCTGAACTTAATTTTCGTAAACTGTGCCTTGGGCAGCAGACTCAAGAAAATATATAAAGAAATTTTTTTCTCTGCAGGTTAATATGAGCAAGAATGTCCACTCTGTTCTTTCTGTACTATGAGTAGAGAGGTGCTGGTTTTCATTATTTTCCCACAAGATTCACAGCTCAGTTTGTGGGCAAGTTCTGTGTAGCATCGGAAAGTTTTCTGCATGTCCAGCAGTGATTCCTGGTGCACTTGGAAAAACACCTTTCAAAAATCAGGAGAGGAAAATCAGGAGAGGAAAGAGCTGGAGCTTGAGGCTTCACAGGTTTTTGTTAGAGAGCAGTTCCTTTCTTTGGTCTTCATTTTAAACCCAGAGCAAGGATCAAATAACCCTGTAAGATGATTTTCTCAAAGAGGAGAAGCAAGCTGATTGTTTCTAAGAAGAAAGTAAAAATCATGGAGTCTAGGGAGAAAATGAGTCTGAATTTCAGCCTTTTAAAGTTTTTGATTGTGGAAACCATTATACTTCTGTAGCAAGAATGCTGTCTCCTGGGTGCATGGTCTCTGCTTGGGTGTCCCTGAGCTCTCACAAGCATGTACATCGATTATGAGCTCTTTGCTCAGAGGAACATTTAGAAAACCTTCAATATTTAAAACATGTTTAATTTCGGTGAATACCTAATATATAGAATGATAAATGTTAAACCATGTTATATTTTAAAAGGAGAATTTCGTTTCTTTTGGCTATTAATGTAGATACAGCCAAAAGAGGAGGATGAGAAACCATTAACTTCATCGAATCCAGTATTAGAACTTGAACTGGCAGAAGAAAAATTACCCATGACTCTTTCTAGGCAAGAGGTAAGTTTTTACATGAATGTTTTGTGGGAAAAAAACTCCACAGCATTTGCATTTAGTTCTTTCCAATAACTTTTGTCATTATCTCCCATATAAAATGACTTAACTGGCCAGCTGCACAGTATTCTAGTTCAATTTTCTTTATGAGGTTCTAAATTAATCTCTGCTTTTCTAGGTACTGTTGTCTAATATCTTATGTCTTAAGTTGTTTTTAAAGAATGTATCATTCTGAACTTTAAAAACTAAACACATTCTAAATATAATTAAATGCATATATTCTAAATAATTATACTTGATAAGTTGTCTAAATTATTTAAAATAATATAAATTATGTATTAAAAGAAAGAAAGTGTTTTGTAACTTACTTCCTCTTAATACATCTTTCTAAGTCAAAATACAGAGATCTGTATGATCCTTTATGACTGCATAATTTCCCATAATATTTTAAAAACTACTTTATTATTTTTAAAATCAATTCTGTGCTAATGGTCATTTAGGTTGCCTCAGCATTTCCCTATTTTAGATCATACTAAGATGAACACCCTCATATAGATGTCATTGCATGTGTAATAATATATGATTACTTTGCTTTGGAAAATTTTCTAGAAACATGATTTCTGGAGTCTGTTCTAATGACTAAAGACTATATACATGCCTAAGGCTTTGGATACATATTACCAGAGAGCCCTGCAGACTTGTTATAGCAGTTCATACTCTCAGCTATAGTATTTGCCCATACCCTGGTCAATGTCAACTATTATTTTCCTTCAGCAATAACACCAACAACAAAATTTTAAAGATACTCCTGTGGAAAAAGAATTCAGACTGTACACAAGGTACACAACGAAATTAACTTTGAGCAAAAGGAAACTCTCAGAGGAAAGGAGGGCTGACTCCAGAAGCTGTGTGTGAAAATTAGATGAAGGACTTTTGAATACTTGGCCTGAAACGAAGAATATTTGAGATTTTAAAAAAGATCCATTGACCACAGTTCTAATTTTGAAAAAGCATTGAATATTCTCTGTCGTTTCATAAAGAAGAACTGAGATAATTGAGAGAGGTAGCTTTTCATTTATTTTGAGAAGCATAACATATCTGTCCAAAAATGGGATGGGCTGTTTCATGAAGAGGTGTGATTTTTGTCATTTGTCAGACAGGGACCAGACGAAGGTGTTTTTGAGGTCATTTCTGCATGGGTTGGAGATAGCACTAGACGACCTCTTAAGTTTTTTTAATACCGAGTTTCATTTAATCCAGTGGGAGCCCAGTGGTTTCTAAGTGTGATACTATTTATGTTCCCAGATAAAGTTCTTGGTATTTTTAAAATTATAACTTATTTTCTTAATTATAATTCTTGATTGTCCTTTTTATGAAATACCACATGTATACAAAGAGTGTGTAAAACACGTGCGACATAGTGGATAATTACAAAACACACACTCGTGTAACGATGGCCGAAGTCAAGGAGGAGTATTATCAGGCCCTCAAAAGCCCTGCACGTCCCCCTCCCTCCATTTGTAACTCACTTTCTCTTCTGAGGGACTAGTTTTTGGTTTTAATGTAGTACTGCAGTGCCGACTCATGGCTATCTATGGTCATTGACTTATCTCTGACTCCAGGCTTGGTTTTATTTTTTTCTCTTTATAAATGTTATCACTCCCTCCCATCGTAATGTTTTTCTTATGTATTCTACTACACAGATTGGTCCTTTCTGAAACACTCGCCAAATGACCTAAACCATTAGGGTTATTTAAGGTGTGGCAATAATTCAGTATATATGTTAGTGGAAACTAAAGAAAAAGAAATATAACTTACTTTCTGCATCTACTTTTCACTTACCAAAATAAGTGTTTGGTCTCCTAAAATAGGAATTACTATTACTAATGACATAGGGAATTACTATTGTTGTTTGATATATTTTTTTAAATAGGTTATCAGGAGATTAAGAGAAAGAGGAGAACCAATCAGACTCTTTGGAGAAACTGATTATGATGCTTTTCAACGTTTAAGAAAAATAGAGATCCTTACACCAGAAGTTAACAAGGTAAGAAGTCAGAACAAAGGTAGAAGAATGTCGTTGTACCATATAAATGAGAATAGTATGGACTTCGACAGGGTTCAACTAATTGCATTACTATAGAGAAAAAAGGAAAAATAAAGTTGCCAGATTACTGCTGCTGAATGTAAGTTTTCTTTTTTTTTAAATTTTGTGTGTGCGTGAGTTTATTTTTTTTTACTTATTATTTTTCAGTATTTATTTATTTATTTGTTTTTGGCCTCATCAGGTCTTACTTGCGGCACTCGAGATCTAGTTGTGGTGCGCGGGCTCAGTAGTTGCGTCGTGCGGGCTTAGTTGCCCGCGGCATGTGGGAATCTTAGTTCCCCTGCCAGGGATCAAACCTGTGTCCCCTGCATTGGAAGGTGGATTCTTAACTCCTGGACCACCAGGGAAGTCCCAAGTTTCTTTAATTTTCTTTTAAAAAGCACACATCTTGGGTATGCAGTTTAGTGCATTTTGACAAATACATGGAAGTGTGTGGCCACTACCCTTATGAAGATATAGAGTATTTTCATCACACACACATGGAAGTTCCCCAGCACTCCTCCTTGGCCAGTCCCCGGGTTCTACTTCCTCCACTCCTGGGCAGCCACCTTGTTAAATTCTATCCCCACCAGTGAATTTAGAGGATGTGTGTCTGGCTTCTTTTGCTCAGTGTGATATTTTGTAGATTTGTCCATGTTATTGTGGATGTTGGTAGTTTGTTCCTTTACATTGCTGATGATATTCAGCTGTATGAATATATCAGAATATGTTTCTAGCTTTGGGCTGTTATGAATAAAACTGCTGTGAACATTCTTACACAGATCTTTTTTGGATCTGTGTTATTCCTCTTGGGTAAATATGTTTTTATCTCTCTGGTAAATACTTAGAAGTAGAATTGCTGTATAGTAAGAGTAAATGTGTGTTCAGCTTTTTAGGAAATGCCAAATATTTCCAGTGTCTCATCAGTGTTTGTTATTGGTAGTCTTTTAAATTTTAACCATTTTCTTGTATTGTGGTAGTATCTCATTGTGGTTCTATTCACAGTTCCCTGATAACTAAAGATTATGAGCATCTTTTCATAGACTTATTGGCCATATCTTTCTCTATGCAGTGTGTCTTTTGTTCATGTTTCAGTTGGGTTGTTTGTCTTTTTATTTTTGAGTTGTAGGCGTTCTTTATGTGTATTCTGGATTCTTTGTCAGATATACAGATCATGTTTTGTGTCTATTCTTTCCTAGTCTAGGCCTTACCTGTTCTCTTAATGGTGCCTTTTCATGGGCAGGACTTCCAAATTTTGATGAAGTTCGCTTTATGGTTATTGCTTTTGGTGTTTTGCTTAAGAAATCTTTGCTTACCCTAAGGTCTTAAAGAGATGGTATTTTCTTCTAAAACTTTAATAATTTTAGCTTTACTTTTAGGACTCTAATCTTGTTTTATGGCTCAGCTTATGGTCTGTCTTGGCGAATATTCCATGGACTCTTGAAAAGAGTATGTTTTATGCTTTGGATAAATGTCAGTTACAGTGGTGGTGTTCAGATCTTCTGTGGCCTTATTAACTTGCTCTTTCAGTGAGAGACAGGTGTGGTTATCTGTGGCTGTGTAACAATCCACCCCAAAACTTACAGCTTAAAACAATTCATTATTATAAAATCTTTCTCAGTCATCTATGATGGTAACAAACCACCCTGAAACCTAGTAACCTAAGGTAATTTATCATTCTCCCTCACAGTTCTGTGGTTCGATTGGGCTAAGTAAGCTGGGCAGTTTTTTGCTTGGGATCTTGCATGTGATACAGTCAGGTGAGGGCTGTGGCTGAGGTCATCTGAAGGCTCCTTGGACTGGCCTTCTAACTTAGAATGCTGCCTTAAAGGTGCAGCTGCTTTGTAGCAGGTGTCAGCATTTCCTGCCTTTTTAAGGCTGAGTAATACTCCATTGTATATATGGACCCCATTTTGTTTATCCATTCACCCTCGATGGACATGTAGGTTGCTTCTACCTTTTGGCTATTGTGAATAATCCTGCTATGGACACAAGTATATAAATATCTGTTCGAGTCCCTGTTTTCACTTCTTTTGCATATATTCCCAGAAGTGGAATTGCTAGATCGTACGGTGATTCTGTGTCTAACTTTTTTTTTTTTTTTTTTGCGGTACGCGGGCCTCCCACCTCTGTGGCCTCTCCTGCCGCGGAGCACAGGCTGCGGATGCGCAGGCCCAGTGGCCATGGCTTACGGGCCCAGCCGCTCCGCCACATGTGGGATCCTCCTGGACCAGGGCACAAACCTGTGTCCCCTGCATCGGCAGGCGGACTCTCAACCACTGCGCCACCAGGGAAAACCTAACTTTTTTTTAAAGCATAACGAATTTAAAAATTTTTCTTCATTTATATTATTAATGTGCACATCAATTTGTTTTTCTTTATTTTCAATCCTATCTGAACTTTCCTAACTTAAATTCTTGGAAAGAGTAAGTGGTTTTGTAATGCTTCATTTCACTGATATTTTTTCTCTTCTATCTCGAGTCATTTTCCTTATCAAAAGATAGTTTAAAATGGTAATGTGAACTATTCAATTTTTGTTACCTGATTTAATTTTTCTACTGCTCATTTCATTACTTGAAAAATCTCCTAGCTTTTAATATTAATTTATTACAACCTGCTGTATTCTAATCTTATTCAAGCCTGTCCCAAATACTAGAGTTTCTTATGTACTTTTTGAAAACTGGGGTATAATTGACATATAACATTAATTTCAGGTGTACAGCATAATGATTTTATATGATCACCACAATAATGTAGTTAATATTCATCACCATACAGAGTTACAACAAAATTTTTTTTTTCTTGTGATGAGGACTTTTTTTTAGAGATCTACTCTCTGAGTAACTTTGAAATATGCAATACAGTATTATTACCTTTAGTCACTATGCTGTACATTATATCCCTGTGATTTTATTTATTTTAGAAATAACTGGAGCAGTCTCAAAGTTCATAAATTTGAACACATTCGGGCTCCCCTGGTGGCGCAGTGGTTGAGAGTCCGCCTGCCGATGCAGGGGACACGGGTTTGCGCCCCGGTCCGGGAAGATCCCACATGCCGCGGAGCGGCTGGGCCCGTGAGCCATGGCCGCTGAGCCTGCGCGTCCAGAGCCTGTGCTCCGCAACGGGAGAGGCCACAATAGTGAGAGGCCCGCGTACCGCAAAAAAAAAAAAAAAAAAATTTGAACACATTCTGAAGCTCTACATTTTTACTCCCCTCCCTCCACGTATTATTTTTCTGATACCACATTTTACATCTTTTTGTCTTGTGTAGCCCTTAACTAATTGTTGTAGTTAGAGTTGTTTTTACTACTTTTGTCTTTTAATCTTCATACTAGCTTTATGAGTGATTAATTCACTACTTTTACTATATATTTACCTTTACCAGTGAGATACATACTTTCATATGTTTTCTTGTTATTAATTAGTGCCGTTTCTTGCCAGCTTAAAGAAGTCCCTTTAACATTTCTTATAAGGCTGGTTTAGTGATGATGAACTCCTTTAGCTTTTGCTTGTCTGGAAACTGTTGCTCCTTCAATTCTGAATGATAACTTTGCTGGGTAGAGTGTTCTTGGAAGTTTGTTCTTTTAGCACTTTGAATATATTGTGCCACTCCCTCCTGGTCTGCAAAGTTTCTGCTGAAAAAAATCTCCTGATAGTCTTATGGGGGAGCGGGGCTCCCTTGTACAAAACAAGCTGTTTTTCTCTTGCTGCTTTTAAGATGCTCTTCTTCTTTAACTTTTTTTTTTTAATTGAAGTATAGTTGTTTTACAGTATTGTGTTAATTTCGGGTATAGAGCATAGTGATTCAGGTTTTTGCAGATTATATTCCATTATAGGTTATTACAAGATATTGGGTATAATTCCCTGTGCTATACAGTATATCCTTGTTGCTCATCTATTTTAAATATAATAGTTTGTATCTGTTACTCCCATACTCCTAATTTGTCCCTCTCTCCTTTCCTTCCCCCCTTGGTAACCACAAGTTTGTTTTCGATATCTGTCTGTTTCTGTTTTGCATATACTTTCATTTGTATTATTTTTTAGTTTCCACATATGGGTGATATCATACAGTATTTGTCTTTCTCTGACTTATTTCACTAAGCATAATACTCTCCAGGTCCATCCATGTTGTTGCAAATGGCAGAATTTCATTCTTTTTTTATGGCTGAGTAATATTCCAGTGTGTGTGTGTGCGTGTGTGTGTGTGTGTGTATGTGTGTGTCACATCTTCTTAATCCAGTCACCTGTTGGGCACTTGGGTTGCTTCCATGTCTTGGCTATCATAAATAGTGCTGCTGTGACCATTGGGGTGCATGTATCTTTTCGAATTTAGTATTTTCACTTTTTCTGGGTATATACCCAGGAGTGGGATTGCTGGATCATATGGTAGTTCTGTTTTTAGTTTAAGGAACCTGAATACTGTTTTCCATAGTGGCTCTCTCAATTTTCATTCCTACAAACAGTGTATGAGGGTTCCCTTTTCTCAACATCCTCTGCAACTTTTGTTTTGTAGACTTTTCAATGATGGCCATTCTGACAGGTGTGAGGTGATACCTCATTGTGGTTTTGATTTGCATTTCTCTAATAATTAGTGATGTGGAGCATCTTTTCATGTGTCTGTTAGCCATCTGCATGTCTTCTTTGGAGAAATGTCTGTTCAGGTCTTCTGACCATGTTTGGATTGGGTTGTTTTTTGATATTGAGTTGTATGAGCTGTTTGTATATTTTGGATATTAACCCCTTGTGGGTCACATCATTTATAAATATTTTCTCCCATTCAGTAGGTTGTCTTTTTGTGTTGATGGTTTCCTTGCTGTGTAAAAGCTTTCAAGTGTAATCACGTCCCATTTGTTTGGTTTTGCTTTTATTTCTTTTGCCTTAAAGACTGATTAAAGAGAGTATTGCTAAGATTTATGTCAAAGACTGCTCCGCCTGTGTTGTATTGTAGGAGTTGTCTTTAACTTTGGACATTATAATGTATCTTGGTGTGGGTATGTTTAACTTTTTCAGATATTGCCGTACCATTTTCCACAGCAGCTGTACCATTTCACATTTCCAGCAGTGCACTAGGGTCTGTTTCTCCATATCCTAGCCAAGTTGTTAGTTTCTGTTTTCTGTTGATAATGTTCATCCTAATGGCTGTGAAGTGGCATCTCTCTGTGGTTTGATTTGCATTTCCTTAAGGACTAGTGATGTTGAGCACCTTTTCATTTATGTACTGGCCGTTTGTATGTCATCTGTTAAAGTCCTTTGCCCATTTTAAATCAGGTTGTTTTCTGTTTTGTTAGGTAACTCTAAGAGTTTTATAGTTTTAGCTCTTACATTTGGGTCTTTGATCCATTTTGAGTTAATTTTTGAATGTGGTATATGCCGAGGGTCTAGCTTTAAGGCTTCCAGTTTTACCAAGTGGTCACAAACTGGAAGTGAATAGAATGTGGAATTTGCTGGTTTGTTAGAAACATAGTGAAATCCTAGGATATGGTTGAGACCCTGGTTTTATACTGTTGACATTTCCAAATGTTTTGGGAGTTCAAAGTATCAATAGTTGCAGTTGTTAGACATTTTCAGTGAACCAGGAGAATGGGTTGGGGACCAGTGGAGACCTGGTCACTTTCACTAGGGCCTCATTAGAAAATTACAGCATTAACGCCTATTCTTATTTGGATTTGTCACTCGTATGTTTTATTTTTCTGACCATCAGATTACCTATTGTATGTACATTCTTTTAAATTTAAATATGTTCATAAGAATTGACTTTGCATGGATGGTGGTGATAGCTTATAATAAATTGAAATATTATTTGAGTTTCTTTGTGGAGAAAAAAGTGGATTATACTCACTATTAGAGAAAAAATCAGAAGTGAAACATCAGTGAAATTTCATACCAGATGTAACTTTTTACCTTTCCTCAGGGATTGAGGAATGATCTGAAGGCAGCTTTGGATAAGATTGATCAGCAGTACCTGAATGAAATTGTGGGTGGCCAAGAACCTGGAGAGGAAGACACCCAGAATGATTTGAAAGTTCATGAAGAAAACACCACAATTGAAGAGTTAGAGGTGACCCCTCTGCCACCTTCCCTGGTTCCCCGTCACGCCTTTCATTCCCTGCGGCAGATGGTTGGGCTCCTCAGACTCTTCAGTGTACAGCGTGCTGGCGTCTTTGGTCACTACAAAGGCCCTTCTTCTGTTTCGTGCCTTGTGTTTATTCACTCGCTTTTTCTCGTTTTCTATACGCATTCGCCTACTTCCTGCCTTCAAAAGTATTCATTCTGATGTGTTTGATGTGTATCCTTTGATTTGTTGATGGTCTTGTAGAACCAGTAGTGTTTTGTCGGCATGTGTTTTGGTATACACATAAATGATATTTTACTGTGAAATTCTTCATTCTGTTCACTTTTTTCCCACTTAGAACTATGTTAAGTTCCATCCTTGATACCTTAGGTACATCTAAACCTTTGATTTTAACTGTTAACATAGCATTTCATACACTGTGGCATTCACTGCCTTTTACTTTTTGTTCGCCATAATGACAGACAGTGAGATTGCTCCCAGCTCCCTGTTACCACAGACAGCTTTGTGACAAACAGTCTTGCACATGACCCCTCTGGAGCAGAAGCAGGATTGCTTCTGATATATGTTTAACTTGTCTGAGTACTGCCAAATTGCTCTCTGTAATGGGTTTGCCAGTCTCCACCCTCCACCAGCAGTGTGTGAGTGTCTTGTATCCCTGCATCCCTGCCAACACCTGGCAGTATCTTGCTTTCTTATTTTTGCCAGTGTGTTGAATGTGGAGTGATATATGTAATCTTATTTAAAAGTTGTATTATCTAAATATCTAGCATGAGCAAAAATAATGACTTAGTTTAAAGTTCTTAATGGTTAATAAAACATAGTTATTTTTTCTGTCACCTTTTGTTCCTGGCTCTTAACCCACATTGCATGCTGTGAGTGAGACTGTAGTTAAGGAAGATGTCCTTTTAATTATACCTCGACCCCCTAAATTTTACTGCAATAATTGGTGTGAGCAACCAGTTCTGGACATTTTTTTCTTTTTTCCTTCGTTTCAAACAGCTTTGGAGATAGTCACATACTATACAATTTATCCATTTAATGTGTACAATTCAGTGGTTTTTAGTATATTCACAGGTTGCTACAACCATCATCACAATCTAAGTTTAGAGCATTTTGTTCCCCTAAAAATAAACCTTGTTCATGTTCATTAGCAGTCATTCCCTTTACTCCCTCTTTGAGTCATAAAAGATAACGTGCTCTCTAAATTTAAAATGGCCAATTGTCTTTTTTTTTAAATCTATCTAGAAATTCCATCAGGGTTTTAAATCAAAATTGGACCATACGTGTATGTAATAAAGAGCCGTGTTCAGTCTGGTGTTGCTAATGTATGTGTTCCGCTGTTGCTCTTGACTAATGAACAGAAGCACTCTTTTTCTTCAGGCACTGGGAGAGTCTTTAGGAAAAGGAGATGATCATAAAGACATGGACATCATTACCAAATTCCTGAAGGTATGTACTTTTTGGCTAGGAAAGGAGGACATGTTTTCTTTAGTTAAGAACTGGTCTTACTTTCTGTTTTTTGGGTTTTTTTTGGGTTTTCATTTTTGAATTGTTTAAGAGTTACCGACTGGAAAGGGAAATCCTCACTAAACATTTCTGCACGTACGGTGTTTATGATATTGCTATGTGCTTGGATATAGAGGTTAAACAAAGAAAATGTATATTTACTTTCTTCATAGCACTTGTAAAGCTGACTTATTAATGTAAATACACCGAAAAGAGTCATAGCAGTGGAATGAACAAGAAGTTCTAAGGATTAAAACTTTGTTTTTAAACACTCTGGGAAGGAGTGCAATAAGGAGAAGCTTTTCTGAGAGATGATGACACTAAGGAAGGGAAGGAGGTGGGAAGACGTTGACAGGGAAAAAGGCAAAACTCGAGCAGCCTTTCAGAGACTTGAGATTTAGCTCATTCATCCTTCCCGGAATTCCTCTTTCAGTGGTTTAGGTAGCGTATGTGCAAATCCCAGATTCCTTTTAACATTTATTCACACATTATTTGTGTTCAGAACAAGAGATATAAATGCAAGAAATGCTTTTACTTGTGTTTACAGTTTAAATACAACATAATTAGTCATCAAGATTCTCAATCTGTTGAGGATTTGGCATGGAATTAGCTAGGGCGTGGTGGGATCTAGCATGAACTAGAATTTCCTCTTTGAGTGACAGCCTCTCCCTATGTAGGACATGCATAGGTAACACCGCTAGGGGAGTATGGCTTCCTCAGCCCTCAGTGTTTACCTGCCTCTGGGAAGGATGCTCTTTGTGCAGTTTAACTCAGGGGGCACCTGGGTAGTTTTCTGGGGCAGGGTGGGGGCTGGTCATAGTTCCTTTTATTTTCGTTCGTTTTTTTCCTTCCTTCTCCTTTGGTCAGGCACTTTAGAGGGAATTTTTAATTGAATTGTGGTCTCTACTGCAAAAGTAGAAAGTCCAAATACTACAACATCATCCCTGGAAGATTGATTAAATATCACAGCACATATGGCATTATGGCTGATGAGTCTAGGTAGGTTGAATTTTATGTAATAGAAATACAAGTAAAAGTTTATTTCTGTCAAGCAGTTGCCGGTGAAATTTGATAGCTCTTTCAGGGGAAATGGATCGCATCTGAGCTGGGAGAGGTGTAGAATAGGGAAGTCTGTGACTTGCCAAAGGTACTACATTAAAACATACATGACGCAGTAAGCAGAGATAGTTCATTAGTTACATATTGGTTGATGTTTTAATCAGTCAAGACATTTACTCTAAGGATGAGTGTATACCATTTTGTGCATCAGAGAACTTTTAAGCTTACAGAACCACTGGGTGGCATTGTAGTCTAAATTTACCCTTTTTTCCACAGTTTCTTCTTGGTGTTTGGGCTAAGGAGCTGAATGCCAGAGAGGATTATGTGAAGCGCAGCGTACAGGGTAAACTCAACAGTGCTACTCAGAAACAGACCGAGTCCTATCTCAGACCCCTTTTCAGAAAGCTACGGAAAAGGGTGAGGTTTCACGAAAAATGCTTTTGTTAACTGATTTTTAAAAAATAGAATATATAAAGTTAGAATAAATGCAGTCTGTAACGACACACTGTAGCTTACAAAATTTAGTTATGCTTTTTTTTCTTTTCCAGAATCTTCCTGCTGATATTAAAGAATCGATAACAGATATCATTAAATTCATGTTGCAGAGGGAATATGTGAAGGTACATTACCATGCTGTGCATCAGAATTATGTTTATGAGCATACGTAGGTTGTGTACATAATATGTTCATCTCGTGTGGGAATATTTTAATAGAAGATTTAAGAATAAATGTGAAATGAATTAGTAGTAAAACCTTTCATTTTCTAATATATTAGCTTTATTGTTAGGCATGGATAATAAAGTTTAAGACTGCACTGTAATTTTTAGTCATTTTTAAGGAAGGTGTAAAGAATCTTCACAAACTGGATATAGGCAGCCGTTCATTTCATGAATGGGATTGAATTTCAAAGTTTTTAGATTGTTGATTATGGCTTGGAACAAATTTTCCCGTAGAAGCAATGTTACGTAGATTAGTTTCCCAGGCCAGCTATAAAAACCTACTTAATCCATAATATAGCTGAACCATCGTACTAATGATACAGTGGAATTTAACTGCCCTTTATACTGTTTTCTCTGAGAAAATGTTCCAAGTAAGGCTGCCAGAATTTCTCTCTCCCATTTCAGTACTGCAACAATAGCAAAGCCCAGGAGGGGAGACTTCCCCTGCTGCAGTGTCTTTATTCCTGAGTGGACTCTGGGACCAGGTGGCAGAGGACAGAGCTCTGGGGTCCATGTGCTTCCTGGGTAGAGTTTAGAAAGGAGGTGGAAGGCCATCAGTCTGTGTGGCGAACAAGAAGAGAAGGGCCTCTTGCACCACTAATGGGATTGGAAGTGTACCCCTGCTCGTGGGCCATCAGCCGAGTTTGAGGAGGGAGGCTTCCAGCGGCTGTGCCTCCCAAGAGAGGAGTGGAGCGTTCCGTGCAGCATCTCCAGTGACAGTTCCAGAGCCTTGATGGGGCTCTGCCAGAAAAGTGGGGATGCGTTGCTTATTCCTGTGCTCTGAGTGTCTGTCCTCAGAAGGGACTGTGGGTGATCCTGGGTGACTGGAGATCTCCTTGATGAGAGCCTCATGCTAATGGGCTAAAGTAGTGTTTTTAGTCCCTCTAGATGAGAGCCTGTTGGTTAGTCAGAGAAAGTGTTTCTGCTTTATAGCTATGAGTTTTATTTTTGGATAGTTTCTGTTGCCTGGAGCTTAGCAGGGATGATTGCATTGGGATGGATGGATAAGGTCACCATCAGTGCAGAAGGAATTCACAGCACTTGCCTACTAGAGGCGATGCCTTCCCTCTTGATACTTTTCTCATTCTCGTATATGAGAAGCTGGTGAAAGTTTATTTTATATAAAGTACAGAAAGAACTAAAACTTAATATTAGGACACTCTTCTTTGGAAATTTGGGGAAACTGAATATTGGAAATTTTATCCGTTAATATCCAGTATTAAACTTTACACACACGAGTATCAGGGATTTTAAAAAATGTGTATATGCCGTTTTAAAATTCAGTATATCAGTCTCATAGTTGTTTGATTTTTAAATGAAGATCTCTTTGAGGCCTGGCTGTGTAAGCCTCTCTGAAACCATTGGGGTCTTTGAGAGTTTACTTGCTTTCTGTTTTGTCCCCCACCCCAGCCCAGGTAGCCAGGCTTGGTTTAGAAAAAGAGCCATTTTTCTTCATTGCTTTCTCTCTTCTCATTTTGTCGCTTTTAAGGTTCTTGGCAGGTGGGAGGTTTGGGGGGCCAAAGTGAAGTGATCTCATCCTTTAGCTATTTGGCTCGAGGGCCAGTATTTAATCTCTGTTTATACATCTGCTATGGACCCGATGTGATGGTCCCAGCACACAGAGCCCACACTGCTTTCAGAGGTCTGCACTGCTGTGCAGGGAGTAGTTGTAGTTTCAGGTTGGATTATGAAAAACTAGTTAGCCTCTGTCTTCTCTGTGACCACCTAGGGAGAAGACTAGGTCTAACGGAAACTCAGACTAGAGTTTTTGTCAGTGCATCAAATTACCTGCCTGGTAATTCCAGATCTGAAATGTATTAACTTCCAGTGCACCAAGGCTGCAAAGGAATGTTTTGTCTTTTTACTCCCTGGGTTAGCGTTGGTTTCTGTTTTTCCACAGACATTTGTGGTCCTGGGTAAGCAGTCAGTCACCCCATATTTTAATTTCTTTTGTTTGAATAATGGGAATGATAATATTTTCAACACGCCCAAGAGATGGATGAAAATTTCATCATGAAGGGCTGTGAAATACTAAATGAAAATTTGGACCAGCAGAATATTTCTGCTTTCCTGATCTCTTCTTCAACTCTCTTTTCAGGCTAATGATGCTTATCTTCAGATGGCCATTGGAAATGCCCCTTGGCCCATTGGTGTCACTATGGTTGGCATCCATGCCAGAACCGGTAGGGAAAAGATTTTTTCCAAGCACGTTGCACATGTTTTAAATGATGAGACACAGCGGAAGTATATTCAGGTAAGCAGTTTGGAGGGAAAAGTGCTCTGGAGGTTAACATTCCCCGGTTCTCAAACTAAGTTTTGAGAGGAGGAGAATTATAGTGATTGGGTATAGCATGATAGGATGCAAGTCCTATCCTTATGTAAGTCCTTATGTAAATAGTACTTGTATTTAAGACACCTTCCACTGTACTATAAAATAGAAACCTTTTAGGTTTCATATATGATGTAAGACAGGGTGAAATGTTGTGCTTTAATTACCTGAGTAGTGAAATAAAACTATTGCTGTTCGCTTTGGGAGTTTACTAAAGAATGACGAATTTAGAGTATTTTGCAATAATTCACATTTTGTTACTTTCAAGGTAGATTAACATCTAGGCTAAAAAGGTATAAACGGTAAAAATTTAGCTAGTAAATATTTTTAAATAATTTGTAACAACACTTCGGTACACAGATTTAAAATATTTATAGTTTATTTTCTTAAAGTTATACATGCCTCACATAAACCTGGTTACACTGCTGTTGGGTTAAACTTTTCTTTTTAGTGGGAAAAAACCCTCAACTGTAATCTAGCTTTTGCCAAGGTGTCAGAAACCCCAGGTTGTGTCTGTATAATGACTTTTGCTGGATGTTGACTCTAAAGCTTGAAGATGAAACTCTGAAAGTTTACTTAAAGTGTAAGATTCACTTAAAATGCCGACAGTGCTTTCAGAATTTGTGCCAGACAACAGTCACTATCATGTTCGTGGATTATCTTTTTATTTCAATTCCAAGTGCTAAAGGTTATTTTGTGTCATGCTTTGTACCTTATTCATATATATTAGCATTTTAAAATATTTCAACCTGACCCCCTAATGTGAACTGTAGAACTTATAGAGTTCAAATATACTTGTGGAAATTCAAAACATTTCCATTTTCTTTTTTTTTTTTTTTTTTTTTTTTGGTGGTATGCGGGCCGCACAGGCTCAGCGGCCATGGCTCACGGGCCCAGCCGCTCCGCGGCACGTGGGATCCCCCCAGACCGGGGCACGAACCCGTGTCCCCTGCATCAGCAGGCAGACTCTCAACCACTGCGCCACCAGGGAAGCCCCTCCATTTTCTTAATAACCACCATTGACCATATCGAAGGCAAAAAGCTTTTAGTTGGGGAAAAAAAAAGTGGTTTGGCTTTAACAATAGAAAACAGTTACCAGTGATTAAATTTGCTAATTGTGTTCTGCTATACCATGACCAAAGCTATAGTGTGTATAAGAGTTCATATAATTAGATAAATTGTCTTAAAGACAGCATCTTCTTTAGACAATGGTATGATTACCATCATCTTATAAACTGAGTTTTCTTTTTTAAAATATGCCTAGTATTTTAAAGACTTCTGGTTCATTTTGGAAGCTATATAGTGACCTATCCTCCCTCCATTGTTCTTCCTTTTTAACTCTTCTCTTCCCCTTAAAATGTTTTTCCCCCTTTTTCCCAAGATGATTAGAGAAAATTGGCAAACATACTGTATCTGAACTTTAGGAAGGTGTTTGACCTAAATCCAATAATATTCTTGTGTACAGATGTAAATATGGTAAAATGATCAGGTGGACTCAGCTTGTTGAGTGAGAGAAGCCATGCATACTAAATAATGGATCCGTGTGTGTTTGGGTGCGTGCTAGGGACATGCCATGGGGCACTCAGTGACCTCAGTACTGTCCTATTCAACAGTTTTAATGACCAATTTGGATGGCTGTACTGAGAGGTATATTTATCAGCTTTACAGACAGTAAGAAACAGAAGGAATAGGGTGTGCGTTCAGGTGGAGGAGAAATTTGCATTCCAGAAGTTCTTGACAGACTGAAGAAAAAAGCAGATTCTAAAAATATAATATTTAGCAATGATGACCATAAAGAAATTTGGAAGTCTAATAACTCAGTTAGACTTCTAACAAGTCAAGTTAGACTTGAGCGTACAGTTTGAGCACTGTATATGAGGAAGAATTAGGGAATTTAAGTACAATAACAGTAGTACAGTATGGCTACTGGAAAGTCTAATGATAGCTTATGCTACATTATTAGATGTAATAATTTAGTATAAGTTCCACAAGGCAAGAGCGTAGTTCACTGTCATATCCGCAGAGTCTGGAATAGTACTCATGGTGGGTGCTCAGTAAATATTTGTCGAATGAATGAATACTCCAGAGGACGAGAGGTGCAAGTCTTGCTTTTTTTTTCCTAGTCCTTGAGAAAGGAGACTCTTGGTGGGGGTTTGGGTAACTATAGATAATGAGAGAACTTTCCGATGGAAGAGGGATTAAACTTGTCCCATACAGTTAAGGACCAGGTAAGGTATAGGAATGAAGGCATATTTCTAATCAGTGTAAGGAAAGGATTCTTTCTTTTTTTAATCTTTTTGTTTTGAAACAATGAGAGACTGGTAAGAGGTTGCAAAAATAGTACAAAGAAGCTTTTTTTTTTTTTTTTTTTTGGTGGTACGCGGGCCTCTCACTGTTGCGGCCTCTCCCGTTGCGGAGCACAGGCTCCGGACGCGCAGGCTCAGTGGCCATGGCTCACGGGCCGAGCCGCTCCACGGCATGTGGGATCTTCCCGGACCGGGGCATGAACCCGTGTCCCCCGCATCGGCAGGCGGACTCTTAACCACTGTGCCACCAGTGAAGCCCCAAAGAAGCTTTTTAACAGGCAGAATTGCCCCAAAATAGGAGTAGGGCTGCTTTAGAAGATATGGGGGGGATCCCTACCACTTGATGTGTGCAAGCATCCAGTTAACTGTTGCCCTTCCTGGTCTGTTGATTTCTCTGGTACTTCTCTGCCATTTTCCCTAGAGGCCATCGCTTAAACCTGAGGTTGCAAACTCACATACCCAGGATAGTTGGGTAACAGGTGAGCTGAGTGTTAAGAAGCCTCTGACCCTCGGTCTCTCTTTTCTTTTCCTACTTTTCATGTAGCCACAGATGGAAGCAGTATTTTCATTTTCCTCTCAACTCTGTGATAAGAACGGTGGACAGTTGATTACCAATGTTGTGTTAGTTCAACTGTACTCCAGTATAAAATAAAAACTTTAAAAAGTGGATAGCGCAAGCACAGTGTGAAGTGTCAGCTGAGTCTTAGCCTCCAGCGTTACGGGAGTCACTTCAGCTCATTGTTGCCTTGTAGGAATATGGTTCTAGTGTTGTTCCATCTTCCTTTAGTTTTTAGTGAGATACTAGAATCCTTAATTTTTTAAAAAAGCATATGCTCCTATTTTTAAAATATTGGCAATAACAAAAACAAAAAAATTAGCATTGTGTGAGGCCAAATAAAGTACCAGTTTTTGATCTGTCTTAAAATAAACCCATAGTGCAGCTCAAGGCAGAATGAAGCCACCCCCATGTTAGCGTTTTACGAAATTCTTGATTACAATTAACTGAGTGATTTCCTAAGCTGTCTTTTAAATCTTTCTCCTCTTATTTTGGTATTTGGGTAAGGTTGAGTTGAATTATTCCTACAAAGGGACAGTTTAAATATATTATTTGAAGTTTAAGTCAGGAAGTGACACACTTAAAGGATCAGGTAGTAAATATTTTAGGGTTTGGGCTTCATAGGTCTCTGCTACAACTCTTCAACCCTGCAGTGAAAGCAGCCAGTGGCTGTGTTCCAGGAAAACTCCATTTATAAAAGGGGCAAGTGGCCCGTGGGCCGTAGTTTGCTGACCCCTGGTAAATGTATAAACCCAAACCTTTTCTACGTTAAGATATTTGCTGAGGAGGTAATAGTGAAAGTCATTTAATAGGGTAATTTTTCTTTTTCTTCTTTTAATTTTTTTAACATCTTTATTGGAGTATAATTGCTTTACAATGGTGTATTAGTTTCTGCTGTACAGCAAAGTGAATCAGCTATATGTATACATATATCCCCATATCTCCTTCCACTTGCGTCTCCCTCCCACCCTCCCTATCCCACCCCTCTAGGGGGGGACACAAAGCACCAAGCTGATCTCACTGTGCTATGCGGCTGCTTCCCACTAGCTGTCTGTTTTACATTTGGTAGTGTATATATGTCCATGCCACTCTCTCACTTCTTCCCAGCTTACTCTTCCCCTCCCCGTGTCCTCAAGTCCATTCTCTACGTCTGTGTTTTTCTGTGTCTTTATTCCCGTCCTGCCCCTACATTCTTCAGAACCATTTTTTTTTTAGATTCCAAATATATGGGTTAGCATACGGTATTTATTTTTCTCTTTCTGACTTACTTCACTCTGTATGACAGACTCTAGGTCCATCCACCTCACTACAAATAACTCAATTGCGTTTCTTTTTATGGCTGAGTAATATTCCATCGTATATATGTGCCACATCTTCTTTATCCATTCATCTGTCGATGGACACTTAGGTTGCTTCCATCACCTGGCTATTGTAAATAGGGCTGCAGTGAACATTTTGGTACATGACTCTTTGAATTATGGTTTTCTCAGGGTATATGCCCAGTAGTGGGATAGCTGGGTCATTTGGTAGTTCTATTTTTAGTTTTTTAAGGAATCTCCATACTGTTCTCCATAGTGGCTGTATCAATTTACATTCCCACCAACAGTGCAAGAGGGTTCCCTTTTCTCCACACCCTCTCCAGCATTTATTGTTTGTAGATTTTTTGATGATGGCCATTCTGACCGGTGTGAGGTGATATCTCATTGTAGTTTTGATTTGCATTTCTCTAATGATTAGTGATGTTTAGCATCCTTTCATGTGTTCGTTGGCAATCTGTATATCTTCTTTGGAGAAATGTCTATTTAGGTCTTCTGCCCATTTTTGGATTGAGTTGTTTGCTTTTTTGATACTGAGCTGCATGAGCTGCTTGTATATTTTGGAGATTAATCCTTTGTCAGTTGCTTCGTTTGCAAATATTTTCTCCCGTCCTGAGGGTTGTCTTTTGGTCTTGTTTATAGTTTCCTTTGCTGTGCAAAAGCTTTTAAGTTTCATTAGGTTCCATTTGTTTACTTTTGTTTTTATTTCCATTACTCTAGGAGGTGGGTCAAAAAGGATCTTGCTGT